CTGTGCTGTTTAACAAGTTGCCTGTGTTCTTTTTCCTCTAGGAATGATTGCCATCAGCAGGATGGCAGTGCTGTATCCCCAAGTTATAGTTGACCATCCCTTTTTCTTTTTGGTCAGAAACAGAAGAACAGGTGAGAATATTGCAGGTTCTTGAATTTTTCACAGCACGTCATCAAGCATTCAAATGAAAGTTGCATGTTTTGATCAATGAACTGGGCTTGTGTTATGAATTTTTCATTAATTATTATGACATTTCCTTAATTAATAATTTTCCTTTTAAAAACCTAATATTGAAAGGCTCACCTTTTCTGTGCCCCCTGAATGTTTCTCCAAGTAAGACGTCGAAATCTGACAAAAAAAACATTCACAATGATGTGATTAAAAGCCCCAGGGAAGAAAAATTCACCATTTTTGTTGTGAGAACACAGAGTTACTGCCCTGAACATCCATAATCACTGCATCCCCTCAGAGCTTGGCTGTAGCAAGACCAGTGAAATGCATTCCCAGTACCAAATGATTTGCATAATGGACAGATATTACAGCCATGAATAATTCTGTTGTGCTCTCCAAGTGCTCTGTGGCAGGTGAGGGATGAGAACAGCCCTCACCAACTAAATGGGCAGTGATTAAATGATTCCTCAGTTTCGTATTTGTAATTTGTTTTAATGATGTGGCTGTGACTGGATGTAAAACATTCCTGGGCACTCACAGGCTGTCATGTGGGCCTGTGTTTGTGATCCCCACCACAGGTAGCAATGTTTATTTAGATTTGTTTGTTTATTTAGATCGCAATAATGCTTCCAGTCCAGCTGGGCAGAGTCACCTGTGTGGCTTTTTTCTTGTACAAAATTCAAAATACAGCACTGGACCAGATACTAAGAAGAAAATTACCTTCATCCCAACTGAAACGAGGCCAGCAAGGCAGGATACCAACTCTTAAGGGTTTTTTTTGACCAAACTAAATTGAGTATCCTTGCTGTTGCAGACACATTGGGCAAAAAATGTATCTGGAGGAGGATATCTGTCCTTTTTCCCTACTCAGTATCCAAAAATCTCCCCGAAAAGAGAACTGCAAATCAGAAAAGGGCAGAACCCAGTTGCTTTGGGACAGTTCTCAACATTGCTTTTGCATGTAGAAAGAGGAATGGCCAACAACTGTAGTTAAAGCCTCAAAGCTTGTTGTTAATCTGGAAATGTAAGGTTAAAAACTTCTTGGAAAAAAAGATCTGTGATATTGACCCTCCTTCTCAAGGCAACCCCAAGCGCTCAGGGTTGGTTGCTGTGTTCAAACGGGGCTGTTGAGCCACTGCCTTTCATGGCCACCAAGTTCTCTGCTGTATCTTCCTCTGAAAATCAGGCACCACGTGCTCTAGAGCTTATTATTGGTGTTCATTATCTCATACCCTCACATTTAATTTTGGTTCTGGCATCTCTCCATCCCCTCCTCCCTCCCCGCTCTCCCCACAGGTACCGTGCTATTCATGGGAAGGGTAATGCACCCCGAAGCAATGAGTACAAGTGGCCATGACTTTGAAAAGCTTTAACTGCCACCAGCCACCAAAAAGAGGAGATAAGCACATAAAGTTTGAAGTTAATATATTTAAGGTTTGCTGTGTTTCTCCCCCAAGATATTGTTTCAAACGCTTTCGGATCTAACTGCGTGCAAGTCAGTTCCCAGAGGGAAGCTTACAGTGTTAAAGTAATGGTTCTGTTTCTGTTGTTGTGATTGCTGTGTCCTTAAAATAAAGTTGTGTACATGTCAACAACTGTTTCTTGTTCTAGTGGATTGTAAAGCAGAAAACTGCAAACCCATTATTTGTAATTTTTTTTTTACGGTCCAAAGACTGACTTGATCAATGAGACAGGAGCAGAATGTGCAGCCCTGAATAATGCAAATGGCAAACCTTGGTGGTGATTTCTAAGAGCTCCACGTGGACAATGTGCTCTCATCCTGCTCCTGTCAGAGCAGTGAACAGCCTGTGCTCTGCTGGCTGATCGGGGGGGAATGGAACAAATGAAGCTGAGTGGATTTTATTCTCTGACTGTGGTAGACTCTGTGTGAACTCTCCCCCGTGATTCTCAAATGTTGCTTTTCTGGATGCTCCTGCATGTGACTGCCACTGACCCTCCCTAAGTGTTGATGACAATAAAAGTTGATGGCATGAATATTTGAGCCCTGTCAGTGCAGAACAGCTCTGTGTGTGACTGAAGTAAAATACCTGAGTAGTGAAGTCATTCGTGTGCACATATTTTTCTCCCCCAGAGTAGTTGTTCTACTTCAACCTGAGCTTTTCACTCTCTCACTTCAGGGATCTAGAATGTTCTATCTCAAAACCAAAACCCCTTAATTTTAAGTGTCTAAAAATTCACAAATAAATGTCTAAAGGAAAAACACAATCCTTTTCATTTCTTAACTTTTTCTTGAGAATAAACTGACAGAGAGGAGAATGACACGTAGCACAAGTAAATATTAGCAGGAGAATTAGCTGGTGTTTCCATTTTTAAGATGAGGAGAAGTACCCACTGTCACCAGAGAGCCATGTAATTATTTCCTCCCTCGTTGTGCAAAGTACAAAAAGAACAGGAGTTGTTAAAAAGGTAAGAGAGGACAGGGGAAAAGGAGGGAGGAGCTGCTCTGAAACACATCATCAGCACAAAGCTTTGGATAAGAAGTGGGCTTCTTCTCAATAAATAGGAGTTTTGTGTTTGGAATTCTATGGGAACAAATGCCTGTTGCCTGAGCTTCAGTCATGGGCTTCCCTGGCACTCATTCACTGCAGAGCAGCACAGATACTGCTCACAAAGTTATCCATGCAAGGAAGACTTCCAAAATCTGACACATTGTTCAGTCTTTTCTCCTGCTGGTGCAGATCTGGGATGTGATGGATATTCTCTGTGGAGGCTGGTTGTGCTCCCCTGGAGAAAGGGCACTGGGACATATTTCTGGCCCTACCTTCTTGAATTGTTTCAAAAATGGGGCTCCTTAGTGTGTTGCTGTTGCTTATTATCCTTATATATTATAGTCTAGGCTTGGTGGGAAGGTTTTGCATGTAAATTTAGACAAAAATTGTAATTTTAGTTCTGGATAGCTGAAAATCTTCTGCTTGGGAGGGCAAAAAGGGAGTGCTGCTCACCATGAGCAGGGGCTAAATTTACCAAGACACAGAACTGGTGTCACTGCAGGTAAAATGAGCTTTGATGGGGGTTATACAAGGGCTCATTCTTCTTATTTAAATAGTTCTGTGAACATCCCCTCAGGTCTGTAAAAGTGACCCACATGCTGAGGATCTTTGTGGGTTTAATCTTATGGGTTTAATCTGATTTTTAAGCCATGATGTTTTTTTCAGGCTAATTTTTGTGGTGTTCATCTGATTTGGAAAAGACTCAAGAAAGCCAATGGGGTTTTTTTTTGAGTCCCTCAGAAGTTCCTCCTGAACAGTTTTGCGTTTTCTTTGCACCAGTTCCTGGCAACAATAGAGGCTTCCTACGGAGGGAAGGACTGGGGATAGAGTTGAACTAAAGCTGTGGAATTTTGGAATGACAGCTGGCAGGCAGGAGTGTTTATAGAGAATATCAGGCAAGTGCACAATCTTCCCCAGCAGTTGGATTGAGCAGAGGTACAGCTGGAATGACGTGGAATTAAACATTCCAGATCTAATGCTGAGAATTGCCTGAGTGGGCACATAGGAAAACCAGCAGGAGCAGAAATGCAAACACTGGTGATTTCATTTGCAGCTCTCCTGGTCCTTACAGATGCAAAACAGCCCTTTTATGTTTCTAGAAAATTGAGAATTATGTGGTTTTTCAACAACACGAATTGATTTATTTCCAACTTATGCAAATTTGTCAGTTGTAGACCACAATGAGAACAGCTCTCAAACAATGCTGCTTTTCAGTGGGAATAATATCCTAAGTATTGCTACCAATTTATTGAGGTACATGAATACTACTCCATTATGGGTTTTACTCTAGGTTTTGTATAACATTCCTTTCAAAGACGCTTTTGCTTTTTCAATACAAAACCAGCAAAATAGTTTTGTCTTTTTGTTTGGATCTTTTTTTTGATAAGGGGAATTTGTCAGCAGTAGCTCATGTGTGAATTCAGCTGTGTAGTCTTGAAAAAAATGAAGAATTGTATTTTGTGTTGGAGACCAAATCAGAAAATAAATCACTGTAACTTCTCTAATTGTGCTGTGTAAGTGACCCGTGGTGTAGCATTGATTACTGAGATCCTTCTGTGCTGCAGCTGCAGTTGAAGCATGAGAAGAATAATTCCTTGCACACCTGCAGTCCAGGTGGGAATGCCTTCCAGAGCTGCAGTTGGAAAGAGTATTTTCCCTAAGAATCCTTTTAGTGGTGGTGCTACTGCTGGAGATTGACTTATTTAACTAATATATCTGACTAATAATGTATTTAACTAATAAGATCCCACTTGTAAATGATTTTGAGCACCAGTTTTTGTAGATTCTACATTTAAACAAGAATTTGTGTTTATGAATTAGAATGTTTCTGTTGCTGTTCCAAGCACTAATTTTCACTCTCTTTCCACAAGCCTTGGTGGTGGCAAAATAAACTGTTGTTTCAGTGTCTGAGAATCAAGAACATGATATTCCTCAAACAAATAACGTGTTGGAGTTTATACCAGAAACAAACAAAACCAAACTTAGGCAAAGCTTTTTTGGCTAATTTTTATTTGTCAATGGTGGACAAAAGAAGAAACCACAAGATGTCACTCTATCCTAAGGAGCTAAGAAGGACTTTCCTCTTGACAGTAATCCTGTGGGAGTGCTGGAAAGCTGAGCAGCCTGAGTGGGACTTAAGTGTATGGAGATGTTGTACAATCAATGAGTTTGGGTCATAGACCCAGGTTCTGAGATTAATATTTGGGGATGGGGGGAACAAACCCCAAAATACTTGGTGTTGCAAACTTTGCTCTGGATCTTTGATGATGGATTGCTGGATGAAGCTCATTGCTCCCAGGAGAATTCTTATCCAGCTCCTGGCCTGCAGGATGCATTGTGTGCTGGGGGTGTGGGGAGATAACAGAAATAGGTTGTTCTTCCAGCCTGTCTCCATGAACAGCCCCAGAGCCGTGCTGGGGTTACTTTGGAGTCACTGCTGCAACAGGACATATAATTTCTTTTCTACAAGAGAGAAATAACTGGGGTTGAAGTCATTGATATACTGCTCCTATTATTCTGTTGTTCTCTTTTGTTGTGGCTCTTAAATTCCCCCCCTCCCTTGCTGCCTCACACAGTGTCACTGGAATTTCTGCAGGAGCAGATTCCCTGGCAGGTGTTCCCTCTTCCTGAGCCAGAGGCAAATAATGTTCCTACAAGGATTTCCTTAAAGTAGCAACAAGGCCTTCTCAAAAAGTGTTTACAAGCTCGTTCTTGAGTTGTTTCTGTCCCTTGAATTGGGCAATCTTTGCTTTTGTCCCTGCGGTGGAAAATGGAAATACTTGGATTAGAAAGAGATGGATGAGTTACCCCCAAAACCCAGTGCCAGGGAGGAGGAAACCAGTACCTTGATAACTCAGATAATACCAGCAAGAACTGAGTTGACTTCCCTTGTGAGCTGCTCTGCATCTGCTGGCACAGCTGGTGAGAAACTGTAGATTAATTTAGTTTGTAAAACTGTCCGTGGTCTCCAAGGGGTTTGGATCAAGCTGCCACAGCCACAGGGGTCCAGGCAGAAGGGAGACTCCAGCTGCTCACTGGGACCTCTGTTCACTGTTCACCGGGTTCTTTGGCTTCCAGCTGGCGCTGGATGAGGGCTGGAAAACAAAGTTACACATGAGGAACCACTCTCAGTGCACACAGTTGGTATTTTGCAACTCATTAACACGATGTATCTGTCACCCCCCTCTTCCAGTACCCTCACATGACATTCTTTTTACATAGCACTGCCTTACAACCACATCCACAGGAATATTTTTCATTTTTACAGCACTAGTTAGAAACCCATCATGGACCAGTTGCTCTAGGCAGTAGGTAAAAACTGAATGAAAAGATAGACAAAAGTAATGTACTCAAAATGCAGTTGGAATTGCAGTTTATGGACAATAGCACAGTGCAATAGTCAAGGCTGTGAGGTAATGAAGGATATCAGGCTTATTCCGTCACTCTGGCAGGCAGGTAATGGAGAAAGGTGGGAAAGATAAATGTATCATCCAAGATACAGATAGTGCTTGTAAAATTCTAGGTCTACCAGGACCTGGTTGAGGAAAGAATTGAAATTGTTCCTGCAGCTCAGGAATTTAACCCACTGCCTGAGTTTTTATCTTTCCAGCCACACTGAGTCACAACAGGAGGGATGATTTGGATATGACCTGTTCTCTACTGATTACAAGTTGGTTTACTACCTTTCTCTCATAAACACACATCTTCCCTATGGAAGAGTGATCTTTTGCAAAAGCTGGTGGAAAACTCCTACAGAAAATTCCTACAGAAAATTCCTACAGAAAAAGAATTCTGTGTTTGTGTAGAAGTGCTTTTAAGGAAGGGAGGAAAAACATACAGAGGAAATCTGGATCAGTGTTCTCATTAGGGGATTGGAATTGCCCTTGGAAAAAGATGAGCTTCAGCCATTCTTTCAAGTATTCTGCTACCAAAAGAGTTTAGACCCAGTCATAGTTTAATATTTTTGCTCTATTTACAGGTATTTGTTAAGAGCTGTGTTTTAAACCCAAGCTGGAATCCTTACAGGTGGTAACTGTGATAGCAGTGCCTGAGCAGAGTGAATAAAATATGTCAGAACGTGATAAGAAATAAAAGACATGGAGAAATCCATCTTGCCCTGAAACCTGTAAGGATCATGGTCTGGACAATGTCAAATCTCACTGGTCACCAACAGTGTGACACAAAAAGTCTGTTTATTTGAGGCTTTTTGTCATTATCAATGGACTTGGTAAATGCAGGTTTCTCCAGTTTATAGGTTCACATCAGTTTTTTGATCAGAAGTTATTTGTGAATCATCCCAATATTTCAGAACTACTCTTCCTGCTGCAGTTTCATGGGGTGCAAGCTGAACAGGGTAACCTTGAGGGATTTTAATTCATGTATTTTCCGGTGTCATTCCAAGTTCAGTGTGTATACACATATGGAACAGAGTGTTCTGAGGAGGTGACCTGTTAATTACTGAGCTTTTGAATCATAATGTGTGGGACAGAGAGCTTGGAATCATGAGTAAAACAGCCTTGGATCAAACCCTTACAAAAGCTGAGGATGCTGCCAGCTCTTCCTCTTCACTGATGATGCATCAAGATAGGCAGAGCAGAAATTAGGGGATGTCTAATTCCATAACCTTAAATGTTTAAATCAAGCAAACAAAATCATGCACTGTCCAAAACACCCATAGCAAAGAGTATCATCAGAAGAAGCTAAATTTAGTCAGAGTCACCTGAAGCCTGTTCCAAATCCCTTTGCAGCCCATCATAAAAGGATTGCCATTAGTTGCAGGCAGTTTTGGACCACATGAGGTTTCTCTCAGGCTGTGCCCTGAAGCCTGAGTTCAAAGAGCTGGGTGGGAACTGACATGCCTGTGATTCTGTGGGATTAGTAAGAACTCAATTTTTGCCCCATTTGCAAAAATTACTTGAGGCCTCTTACCTGAAAATATGAAATGAGTTTCTAATCCCAATGTTTCTACAAAAAAAAAAAAGGTGAAGACTATAAGCATGCAAGATGGAGAACTTGTAAAGTTGTATTTGGTGTGTGTGCACATGCACTTATTAAATGTGGATATGCTACAAGAATCACAAATCCTGTTATTATTTTACTCTTATAAGTAAGCAAAACCTAACCTATTGCTGCATGAAACCACAAGATAATGCAGTACAAAATAATGAAGCCACTCTATGCCTCTTGATTTAGAGGCTGCAGGACTTTTCCTTAGTGCAGGATGCCTGCAAGGGAATAAAAAAGGTTGTTTGCCCCCTCCCTTTCTCAGTCACCAGCTTGGCTAAGCTCCTCTCTCTCAGTCCCTGGAGTTAAATGATGAATTCCAGCCTCTTGAAACCAATGGCAGCAAATTCCTCTGCCTCCAACCATTGCACAGGGGATTCACAAAGTTAATAGGAGATAGATGAAGGCAGAGAACCCCAGGGAAATCAAAGGATATCAGTGTTTAACACGAGGGGCAGTGGCAAAGCTCACCAGGAGGGCCCTGAAGAGGAGCCACGACCCCCCCACACGAGGAGCTGGCAGAACTCATTCCTGATCTGCTGCCTCTGTATTGCTTGGCACGTATTTTGCAGATAGAACAACTCTCTAGTAGATTTATTGGCAGTGCACTAAGAAGTATCTTCAAGAGAAGTTAATTCAGGCTCTCTTAGCCTTGATAACCACCTGCTTAAAATATGCTCCCTCCCATGGCCGACGAGAGCACAGAGATTATGTTATGATAGTTCCATGACAAGTGACTCCCAAAAAGCAACAGAGAGGGCTGTTTTTCAGAAGGGCCATTAACCAGCTGGCAGCCCATTTTGCACCCTTCATGGCAAGCATGATAATCTGAGCAGCATTCAAGAAAAAGGCAGATCAAAGTCTCTGCTGTTTCCCCAGGAAATGCATCCTGATGACTCCACAGAGAAAGGGTTTCAAGTGGGAAGGGTGTTTTTACATTTCCATCTCCTTCAGTGCTCCAAAGCCCTGCTTATTTTTTGGAGAGTTTCTGTACAAAGCCTTTTTTTCTTTAATAGAGCTTGGGGATTATTAATTTTGCAGGTGTGTTCACGCTGAGCACACACACCTGAAGACAATCTGAGGGGTCTAAACTAAAGGGGTCTAAACTGAGGGGTCTCTGTGACAGTGTTGTGCTTTTGTGTGTCATGGCAGTAATGCTGCTGGTGCCTTCAGCTGCTCTAGCACTACCTGAACCTGGTCAGACACAGCAGTTAAGGCTCGTTTTTCCCCAACACAGTTGGTAGAGAAGTATAAAATCAGTATTTATTCCTGTTCTCGATCTCAGAACACACACCAGACTCAGAACTGGGCTCTGTTCCACACGTTGGGCTGTGTCCCAAGCGACTCATTGCACAGAAAACAGCTCTGCTGGAACAGAAAAGACAACCCTCCTGGTGAGTGACCAGCAGGGCCAGTTGGTCTGGTGCCCTGGTGACAGGGTTGGGAGAATCCCACTGGTTTGGCACCGGGCTGAGGTCCTGCCCTTTTATGTCTCGTGATGTCTCTCTAAGGCCGAGCTGGAACAATACGATGCTGTAAATTGCTGACCATGAAACAAGATTGAGGCTGATGTGCAGCAGCCTGCTGTGTCCCAAACCCCAGGCCAAATCCCTGACTGGCCTTGTTGGGCCCAAGTGCCAATGGATTTATGCAGTAGGAAAATCCAGCGAACAATCACAGCGTTTAAAAACAAGCCAACAGATCTGAAGCATTTGGGAGCAGCAGCTGATGTTCCCTCAGAGATGTAACACATGATTTCTATAATCATAGAAATACATTTAATTTTGTTTATTTAAACCAGCTCGTGTTTTGCTGTGAGCATTAATCATCTGGTGTCACACAATGGAATACTAAATGTCACACACTGAGTCACAGCTCCAGCGACACTGTGAGCAATATTCTGGCTGTACTCCACAGCTGGAGAAAGAACTGCTTCATGCCTTGCTGGCTGTAGAGCAAACACAGTCTTGCAGCTTCATTTTGTATTCAGCAGCTCTCCAAAACAGCGAAGGCAGCATGCAAAATGAGGAGGAACACCACTGAAGCTCAGCTGCTCATCTCTCACAACTCAGCTGCAGAAAATATGAGGTTTGAAAGAAGACATTAAAGAACAGGTATCAGCAGGAATATTCTGCCTCAATCAAGGGAGTTACACCTTGTTGCTTTTCAGTAAGTTTTGTTTGCCTGAAGAAGCAACATCAGCACGTTTGCTGCTGAAAACAGGGCTTTCTTCTTCTCCCAGTGCAAGGCAAGGAGAAAAGAAAATTCTCATTTCCCAGCTGCTGGAATACAGCATGGATCTGGCAGCAAAGGGGAGCAGCTGAAAGATGGAATAGTTAATGTTTTTATTCAGGGGCCTGGCAGGTCTGTGACTGGAGAATACAGTGACATAAAGCAGTTTAACAGCACCTTTATAGCCCCTGTAGGTCAGCACTGGACTTAGAGCCTCTTTGAAGCCCAAAGGTCAGGATGGATCTCAATAGTATAGGTTTTACTCTTTTTTTTTCCTGAAAGAAAAGCTGCTGCTTCTATCACCTCATCTCTGTTAAGATAAAAGTGTGAGGTGGGGAATGACCCTCTGAGAAATCCAGCTTTGTCTCTCAGGAGGGATTTTGGATGAAAACAGCTAAAGCAGAGCGAGGCACCAGATAAAGTGATTCCATTTGCAGTCAGTGGATCACCTTCCCTGGGCCCTGATTGAAAGGGATCCTGTGGCAGGAAGAACTAATGCATATGGATGGAGCCCTGCCCACACCGGGAATTACAAACACAGGCTCTGGGAAGTCCCACCAGCACCTCTGGGGTCCTGCAGTGCCAGAACTTGGGTGGAAAGACAGTGTCGTGGAGAGTAAGGGGAAGGCAAATCATCCACATGAAGATACTTTGAGGTCTTCTTGTGTTTTGAATATATGTGAGTCCAGAATCCCTCCTCTACTGAGCTCAGGAGACCTGATTTAAAATAAATATTTATAGCTGGGCTTTGTGAATACAAAATGCCTGTTGCTCAGAAATCCCCATGTGCTGAGGCTGAGCAGGGGGTACAAACCCTCAGCTGAGGGACAAAGCAAAGGGAAATCAGCCCCAAGAATCCTTCAGTGCCCCCAGTACTGCTGGAAGGAGAACATCCTCCAGCCCTCAGAACACCCAGACTGTGATACAGCAAATGCAGTCTCTGACTTTGAGCAGAAACATTTTCATTACATTTAATTTCTCTTGGCAGGCTGTGCCTGTTCCTAACTTTCCATGCAGCAATTGTGGACAGCCACAGTGTGTCTGTCTCCTTCCTATAAAAGAAGCACTGGAGAGAAACAAGGCTCTTTCTCCTTTTTTTTATGTAACACAAGGCTGCCGTTTTTTCCAAATGAAAGCAAGTGGGAGCAAATTATTTGGATTTCCTGACAAAAGCTGCATGAACACAACACCTTTATAAAAACAGTTGATTCTCCTCATAATGCTTCTCTCTTCTTTTCCTCATGATCACAGGAGGCCCTGCTTTCTGCTCTCAGCCAGAGAACATCTTTATTATCCTTGCAGACAGTGAATAACAACGCATTCATTCGAACCTAATTTTTTTTGGCAATAAGAGCCGGGGAAAGAATAGGGACAAAAAAATCAGAGATGTCAGGAACGAGTTCTGCCTGTAAATACACATTCAGAGCTCTCAGTTCCTTCTTTGATTGGAATGGGGACAGGCATCTCTGAATTTTAAACAACTGAATTATGTTTATCATTCAACTGCATTGCTTTTCCATGTTTTCCTGTTCTTTCCCTCCTTTCTTAGCTTATTTAGAGCTGGGTCGTTTTTACCACCTTGGCCCAGCAATGGAGTAGTTTTCCTGTTCCATACTTAAAGAGATTATGCTTATTTCTCTCAAATATCTGACATATGACAACTTGGTAAAGCCACTTTAACAAAGAAGTGCTCTGGTGACTCCCAAGTATTCCCATATTTGCAAGATCTGAGTTTCGGGAAGGGAGGGTTTTGATGGATGAAGTGAAACAATTTTTTCAATGTAATTCAGGTCATCAATTCTCCACAAAGAGAGGAAACATAATTCTTCAGCAGTTGGCAGCAGTTTCATAAATAAATGCAAAAAATTGTGGAAATATTGTGGCATCTGCAATGATGGAAGTTAGAGAGGAGAATAACCAGAGATGCTGCTTCCAACACCACAGGGGAAAAGGAGGCTCACAAGGCTTCAACAGGAAATTGTGCATCAAAATGAATTTAGAATGATTTTCATATGATTAAAATTACCTGATGAAACCTATGTTTGATAAATTAGGAAGCACTTAATGAATGTTGTATTCCATTGGGAATTGCTAACAATTAAGTCGTGAAAAGATGAAACATGAGATTCCTAATGAGGATGTGGATGGAGGAAATGAGGCTGACCTCATACCAGAGTTCTCCATCAAATGCCTGATCTTGTTTGTTTTGGCAGCTTTGGATGAGGTGTTTTAAATTTTGGGGGTTAGACAGAAATGGCACCTGGGCAAGTGGAGACTGACAACAAACTCATTAAAATGGATGAGACTTTGTCTATGATTTTCAGGGAGCTCCAAACCATGACTTGAGTGAAGGAACACTCAGCTCACCCTCTTGTGAGAAGTCTGGCAGGCACCTGGCAGGTACCTTTGGGATTTTTCCATGTGCACACACAGGTTGGATTCTGCTCCAGCTGAATTCAGTGGCATTACTTGTGAGGGTACAAGGTTAGAGCATGACCTTATGTGCATCTGTGCATTAGGATGCAATGAATTCATTCAATATAAAAAGCCATGTTTTAAGGTAAAAGGGAAAATAAATCTCAACAAGGTATAGAATGGGAGAAATCATTATTGCATGTTAATCCACAGGGGTGCTGCCTGCCACCCACTGCAGTGGGATATGGGATATGGTTAGGTTTTCTCTTTCAAGTTGCCAAATGCAAGAAAAGGAAAGTTATGCTCAACATTTTTTTGAAAAGAAATTTAAAAAAAAAATCTCAAAACATTACTTATAAGTGATCTTTCTGTAGTGTCACATAAATTCCAACTCATCCAGAAATTGTTGACCTACATTTGGTTAGAAAATTCAGATTTGATACTGAAATATGTCTCTCCTAAACCAAATAAAAATTCCGTTCCCTGTTCCATAAACATCTCTTCTTCTGGCTTGATCCAAAGACTATAAAATCAAGGAAAGGTTCAGTTTTTAGTGCCAGACGTTGTCACTATGACTTGCAAGCCTGCTGTTTTTCCAGAAGAGAGAACCAAATTTCAGTACTTGTTGCTTGGTTACAGCCCCTCCAACCCTCTTGGAATCCCTGGGTTTGTAACACCTTGGAAAACCAGACATATATAGTTTTCACTTCAATAATTTATGTGCCTTGTTGTTGATTCCTTTTTGTCTGGTGACCCTGATGACAAGTTTCACTAACTCTGCTCTCCTTCTCTCCAAGGCTTTATCCTGTTGTACTTGGCTTTTCCCTGGGAATGCTCTCCAAGTCGAATAGTTGAGTGGAATCCTGAATGGGCAGGACAGAAAGAAATGTGTTGCCTGGGTAACTCAGCAAAATGTCCACTTGGTTTGTGCAAGTTGTGCCTGCTTCTCTGCCCAGGCACAGACGAGCATCTGTGCATTTAATACTGTGTTCCTTTTCCAGTGCTTCCTGTGACTGTCCATGCAGATCATACTAAAGAAATAGTCAAAGAAATTCTCTCTCTAACTGATTCATCCAACTCCAATACCACGGATTCCTGGATATGGTCAAACCAGGTAAGATCAACGGAGAAATTCACTTTCTGCTGCTGCTAAAATGTTGTTAAGCTTTTAGATCTGATTTTACTTAATGGTTTGATATCACCTAAGCAAATCAAGTGTTTTACGTAAAGAACACGAAATTGCACCAACAAACTAATTTTTACAAGCTGCTGCATCTCTGATTCAGAAAAAATGTTATCATCCAGAAGTGATTTTTAAGTGTTCTTTAATGATGATTAGGGAAATGTCAGCTCAGAGAAACTCAGCTGTTTAAATGCAGACTTTAAAGCCAGACTGTTCATGTAGTCTGGTCTTAACAAGGCCAGGCTCTGTGAATGCTGTGGGAATGCTGACCCTGGTCACAGGAACAGAATTTTTGCTGGCTATTGCCACAGTGCCAGGATTTCATGGTCTGAGCATTTCAGTTATTTCTGCATAAAAGGAGGCGGGATAATATTATTTCCTTTCTTCCTACTCTTTGTCTGTCTGCTCTGTTCAATTAAAGCACAAACCCTCTGGAGCAAACTCTGTTTTCCTGGCTTTCTGTGGTGCCCAGAACAACAGGGCCTCTTGTGGCCTCCAGCAGTCAGAATAATTGGAATTGTTCCTGTCATTAGTCAGACCTCAGGATGAGCCCTATTCTGGCCAGTTCATACATATTTCATGCACCTGCAGGACATGCAGGGAAGCATCTGATCCAATGCAGATGTGAGAGACACGTGGTTGAGACCGATGCCCACCCTGGATTTGGCCTGCTCAGCCATTTCAGAGACAAAATTACTGGTCAAAATTGGATAAAGTGGGAAAAAAGCTCTTTCTTGCAGAGTTGGGGCGTGCTGCTGCATTTCTTGTCAGAAGCACATTTTTATGGGCAGGTTGTAAAGATCTGAAAAATAGTGTTTATAATGGAAAGGCCGCCACCATGTAAAATATGTCATTTCTCTGAAATAGCACAGAGATAATTTTTCATGGGCTTTATGAGGATTGCATTTGCCACAGAAGATCTGAAGCCCATTAGGCCGTGATGGGGACCAATACCTTTCATTTTGTACAGAGAGGAAAAATGGTAAGTAGAAAGGCCCCAAACTACAGTCTTGTTTGATTTAGATATTAATTTTTTTTTATTCTTAGCAGGCAGAGAAAAGATACATTCAAGTGACCTGATGAATCCCTAATACTCCATTCTCTGCCCACTCTGTAATAAACTCAGCTCTTACCACATAAAATTTTAATGAAATCTGTGTGGAATGACTACTTTGTTAAATTTCACATAACCATCTGTCAATTCAACATTTGGAGCCACAAAATACCTTTGCACAGGAGCTGAAAGTTTCTAATAACCATTATTCTCCTCTACTTTACTGGTGTGGCAAAGTTTGCCAGCAGAATTTCTAAGGGAATGTTTTGGAGCCTCCAGTCACTGTTGGGGAAAGCACAGGCCTTTCTGCACAGAAAAATCTTTTATTGATCAGCCTTTGTAACAACCAAGAAGAGAAAAAGGGAAATATGAGGGAAAGGGAGAACAAGGAATAAGTCTTCTGTGAAGAAATTGAAAAGTAGGAAGTCAGAACCACCGAGGGTTTGACTATATGGTATTTCCAGATGAATATCCCCGGGCAGAGCAGATTGTGTACTTTTTTCCACATTGATTTTAACTTATTTATCCCTCTTCTTTCAGTGCTGAGCCCAGGAGCTCAAGTGAGGCAGGAGCTGTGCCCGTGGTGTGGGAGATGCCGATCAATAGGGCGTGATTGAGTGCTCCATTATAACCTTACACCGAAACCTGGTTCCCGTAACAGCTGCTGGAGTTTAAAAGCCATCTGTAAACTTCAGCAGGAGCTAACCAGTGCCCAGAACAACACTGGGCTGCAATTCCATCAGTGGCACCCTGCCAGCATCTGCACTTTGTCTGGGTGAGCCAAACAAACATCACACCAAACACGTTTTCAAGGGAATAGCTTCACCAGACTGGCTCTGAGAACCTACAGCTTCAATGTTTTAAGAAAAATACAAGATAAAAACAGACACAAAACTGACCTGTTGGTTCCCACCAAGAGAAGAGTCTCTTGTTTTCGTTCTCAGCTGCAAACTCGAAGAAAGAAGCCTGGAAGGTTGTTTCTGAAATGGCTGAGCACGTTCAAACAAGGCAAGAACCCTCAACAGAGTGAAGAGGTGCCCATAAAGAACTTTCACGAACATTACATAAAACACGAGGCTCTTTAAGTAGTTGCTTTTCATCCAAAGTTCTTTGATAAATTAATAAGGCATTTAACAAGCCATTAATGAAGCAGGAAGTCTTTTAGGCAAAGAGAATATTAACTTCAAGTGGGCAAAACTGTGAAAGCGATTCAGGAAAGCGAAGCCGCCGGAGTGAGCAGACCAGAGATTCATCCGGATGATCACATATCTTGCTACAGGTATCACCAACCTATCTTTAGGCACCTTCTGGAAAGATAGTTCATTGATACCAGCTCCAGCAGCCCAGGAATTTGTTTGATGTACTTAAGAGATTGGTAACAATAGCTCCTAACGTGACTGCGTTGCGAGGTGACAGCGTTTCCTTGGAGACAGTGGATCCATCCAGCCCCAGCCAGGATCCTTGCAGGTTACCCCTCTCCAGAGGCTGTAGAACTCCCTCCCTATGCAGGGGCAGAGATGGGAAGATAAGCTTTGGCTGTAGACAAACAGCCTTGTGCAAGATGTGAGGATTTTGTGCACCAGCGAGACATGTCTGAAAGGTAGGAGGGTGAAAGGAGAGCCGGTCCTGTAGTCATTGCACCGCTTGACATGCTTTGACAACAAAGATAGTGTTACAGGATTGAGTGTCTTTTTAGAATGTACCAGCCTGTATTGCTAATGGAGGTTGTTGTGCAGCAAAACCAGGAATTTGAATGGGGGATTTTTTTTTTTCTTGGTGCCATCTTTTGCTGAAAGACAGAAGCTGTCCCATCAGAAATGCCTAATTTGTTGCAAAAAAATGTGTGAAAGGCACATGGATTGAGATGTGGAATTTGTGTCCACGAAGAAAATGTTAGTTAATATTCTAGGTATGTATAATTATGGTGATAGGGCCTAATTATGTTAATTATGTCTTGTGGGGGGCGATTTTATGTTGCATAAAGCAAGATAATTGATGCTACAGCTGACAGCAAGGGTGCATTGTAGCCATAACTTACAGGTGTGTTTGTCACTAAATTATGCTCAAAAGAGCTGCTTCAAAATGTTGCATAATGTCTCATAAAACTCCTATAAAAATAATTGAAAGGTAATAGAGCATGGAAACAGTGTCCACATCCTCGACTCTTCTAAGTTCAGAGAGTTCTCATAATAAATGTTTGCATACAAGCAAAGCTGCTCCTGAGCAGTAAATTGGGTGCATTTGGAACTAAGGACAGCCCAAATTGTGAGTTTGATGCCTTTAAAATACCTCCAGGATTTGTGTTTGTAAGTTAACCCTCCAGTTCATTTATGTGGATGGACTTTGGCTTGTGCCACTGACTGGGACAGCATAAATAATGGGGTGTTTGTATCCTGTGAGCAAACAGCTCCTTGTGCAAGTGGTTTGGGCAGACCCAGAACCAGCTTCTTGGAGCCTTTGCAAAATCAGCAGCTCTGACCTAGTGACGAGAACTCATTGCTTTGGGAGGATTTATCACCTTTTTCTTAGTTTCTCAGGTTTGGTTTTATTTTGCTTTTTCTGAAAAGTGATCTTAAAACATGTGTGGTTCGGTTCCTTTAGAATGGTCCACGTTTTTCACTTCCACTGTAGCAGGGCTGAAAGAACTTGGAGCACTTTGCTGTAAAGTACCAACCTGACCAGACTTCACTGAGATCAACCACATGGGAGCAGGGACCTTTCCATCAGATATGGGCTGTGATTTGGTGGGATGTGAAGCTGTAGGGAGCACCACAGGAATTCTGGCTCTGGATATGTGAAGAGTTAGTATGAATAGCCCTACTGCTTGTTCCCAGATCTTTTATCAAGAGCATTTCAGATCTAGGGGGAAAGTAGACATCGTTCAGTGAAAGCTAAGCCTGCTCGAGGCTGCTGATTTATGAAAAGCAGCTGGGAATAAGACTGTGGGAAGCTGGACCAGACTCCAGAACTGCTGAAAACACTAGGACTGAAAGCCTTTCAAATCCCAGCTGCAAGAGTTTGCTTATAACCTTCTTTATCTTTCCTCCTCTTCCACTGAGCTTTCCATTTTCTGAGGCAAAGCTGGACCTGATGCTGTAGAGCCTCAGATGTTTGTTTATCGAGGCTGCCATTTTATCAAGAGAAAGGAATCTTTTGTCTGACAGTCCTTTCTTAGCAGCTGAGTGTCTAAAATATACACAGGAGGGATTTTTCACTCGGCTTTTCCCTCAGAATATCTTTCCCCGCCGTAGTTTCAGAAGTAGCTCAGCTACAGCTCTTCAAAGTATTTCAGGAGCTTTTAATGTATTCTACCCATAAAGTCAGCCGGGCTCAAATGTACTTGCACTGCATTAAGGAAACTTAGAGCATTTTGGAGTCTGTAAAAATGTGGTCAGTGGGAGGAGAAGCATTTCACGGTGTCACAACTGACACTGACATCTTGATAAAGTGGGACTTTGATCAGGGAGCTCTGTGGCAGTGCATGATTTGCCAAGATATGGCCTCATGTCTCATCAGTCGTGTTCTGAAAAATGCAGGAGCTGTTCTGTCCTCGTTCCTGCCAGTTTGCAAAACATTTCAGCCCCTTAATTCCCCACTGGGGCTTCCACTGAGCAGAATACACAAAATACATGAGGTTAGTCATGAGTACTTTCACTTACCTCCAGCCAGCTCCAGACTTCAAGGTGGTGCTTAAGACTTGTTTAGTACAAATTTTTGCTTGTTTGTTTAATTATTTAGATGGGATGGCTGGTTTATATCTTTCAGTGCTGCTACATGGAACAGAAAGTTTCCCCTGAGCTTTTTTGAAGGGATCAGGAGTCCTTCTATTTCAAAACTTGGGGTGGCATCCTCCTCATCAAACTTTAGATGCCCTGAAGTTGTGCCTACTCTCAGGGAAGCCTGTGGGATCCTGTGGGTGGTGAGTCATTCCAGCTGAAAGTAAAAAGCATCGAGGCTGGGTTGAGTCAGTGAATATCTGGACATTCCCACTCATCTCCACTGACTGGAGAGAGAGACAAAAAAATTTTCTAAGCCTGGATTTCCAGCCTGGCAACTCCAGTTAGGTGGGGGAAATCATACTCGAACCAGATGGAGGGTTTAGATGCTTGATTTTGACTGGTGTACTCTGAAATTTTGTACCTGGATTTGATATCAGTGGCAAAGGTGTAGCTGTGGTAGGAACCTGACTGAGAGCCACCCTCAGAAATTAGAAGTTGGTCACATACAGGATTTTTTTACCCCATTATCATTTTAAGTTTCCTTTCAAGTCTTCTTTCATAGAATTCTTAAAATATAGTCAAGTATCTCTACTTAAAATACATCATAGATACAGCTTCCCCACCCCAAAAAGAGAGAGACTGGAGGAATGCTATTGCCACAGAGGGTTTCCATTAGTGAAATTAATTCTTCTCTCATAAGAATTTAGGTCCATGATTTATGATAACCACCAATTTCTCACTGCAGGCGAAGTGAGAGGAAATGACTCAGCCTGGACAGACATCATGAATCTAATTTTTTTTCCCTTAATGCTTGACATAATCTAGTGTGCAGCTCCCAGAGGTGTCATTGGAGATTCATATCCAGCCGAAGGGCCTCACAATCAAGGCAGGAAATTTTGTTCCTTTCATGTATTGTGTGATCTGTAATTGCTTGGAATTGCATCCTGCCTCGTTCATTGCCATTTCTTTTGCATCAATTTTTGCAGCAAAATAGGGAGGAAAACAAAGCAAGGGAGAGAAAAGCAGCGTGGCACTTGCTGCTCCAGAAAAATCTCCTGTGACGGAACGTCGGGGTCCAGCTGGTGCTTATTAAACTCAGGGAGTTTTGAGATGAAAAATGTTTCCCTCTGTCACTCTTTCCCATGGAAATCTCACTCCCCACCTGATTGGAGAAGTCAAATCTATCAGATATTGGTTCTGGACTTTTAGGTTTTATTTTCTGTCATGATACAGAATTTTGTGAGTGGGTTTCTGCCAGGAGATCAGAATAGGTATCGTGTGAAATGGTTCAGCTAAAATGTTTTATCCCACATTTCGAGGCACTGGGAATGTATATTCCTGTCTCAGCAGAGGAGGAGGTATCTGGCTGAGAAGAAGGTAGGCTTTGAAAAGTCTTGCAGTTATAAATAGTCATTTGAATACATCCTAAAAAGTCGCTGCTAAACTGAGAAAAATAACAGACCTTTTTCTTAAATATAAAAGAATTTCTCCACATTTCTTTGGTGTGACCTCATTTAACATACAAGGAAGCAGAAGCAGAGCAAATACCAAGATAGGGCTAAACAAGGATTCCCAGCACTTTTTTATTTCCTCTTGGGTTTTTTTTTTAATATTGACCCAACATAAACCCTCTTTTCACAGGGCTGCTGTGCGTGGGAACACCTGCTGCTCTGTGACACACACACATGAAAATGGCCTCGAGGTGACTTCAAAAACCAGTAAATAGCTGTTTGATTTCCCAAATGCTGAGCTCACTCAGCTTCCCTGAAGTCACCTGTGGTTTATTGGGGCCGGTTTGATCCCATTAAAAACCACCATAAAGCACAAAGGGAGGAGGAGATCTGTGTGTCAGAGCCTGGGAGCACTTTTGGGCCAAAGCCAGCAAAGATGGAATACTGGGAAAAAAAATCATAGTAAGGTCAACAGCACATCTCTCCAATAACCTGTAATTGCACCTTTTAACTGATGTTCTATTTAGTTTGTCTGTTACTCTCAGTAGGAAACTTTCTTTGCCTTGCTCCCCAAACCATTTCAAAGCTGCATTTTTATCTCCATTCCTGACTAGAGTTGTTCTAACAATACTCACTGACAGCTGATACTTTCTGGCAAGAGCTCACCCAGCCTGTACAGTGAAAGTCAAATTACAGTGCTGTGTGCACACACTTACTCAATTAAATCATTTTTTTTTTTCAAGGATTCCATGGTAAAAGCTGCCAGTCTGCAAATTCTTCAGTCCCTCTGAAGCACAGTTGGAGGAATTGCATCATTTAGGGTATATAAAATGGGCTTTTGGAAATGTTCTGAGGCAATGGAGTAGCAAAGCACAAAAACACATCACTTCAAGTTGAAGGTTGGGCTTGATGATTTTGGAGGTCTTTTCCAACCTTACTGATTCTATGGTTTGAAGACTCTATTGGACTAAGTTCAGCTTTTCTCTGGATCCTTGAGATTCCCCTGAAACGTATTCAAGAGATTAAAATAAATATACTGGTATAATATTAGTAAAATAGCAAATTAAAATACATATACAAGGGATTAAAATAAATAATTGAGGTATCTTTTCATCCAACCAGGATCCATCCAAGCAGGGCTGTGCAGGGTAGAAGGGGACACATCACGCTGCTGAACCAGTTCAGTCCTTCATTTTCTCCAAGATTAATTTTTCTAACAAACTGTCAGAAAATTCCTCATTCTGATGTTTGATCTCATCTCTGAAAGCCTCTGTGTATCTACACACTGCTCAGGTGAGAGCTGAGGGGATTGTCTATGGTTTGACCTGAGGACCATGTGGCTGTTGTCTGGTGCCAAGTCCTACCCCGTGCTACTCGGTATTCTCTGTAATTATAAAACAATTTGCACTTCTCTGAACAGAATCAACACTGGTTTAACATCTCTCTCAGTTCCTCAGGTCTGACTACAAGCAATGAAAAGTTCAGCAAATCCTATCCATCCTGCTGCCCCATCCTGAGGGACACACACCCAATCCCACCGGGTTTGTCACAAGGCAGAGGAATCATCAGGCCAAACTGTGACTCTGGGCTGCCTTCCCCAGTAAGTGTTTGGCTTTACCAGCCTGAGCACAGGTTTATAGAGGAGAGACATGACAAAGAATAGCTGAGGCAGAAATCTCTCCCTCAGCTTTGGGGCTGATCCTGTCACCTCCTCTTACCTTCTGAAGCCGGGGCAGATTATAAATAAGATTCTGTGCTGTGGTGTCAGCTGGGGAAAGGGGTTTGACTCGGCCTCTGAGCACTGTGCACCAAACTGGAGGTGTTGGGCAAGGGGATAATAAGCCCTGGAAAGGCTTCTCCAATATTTGAGCCAAATTGTAGAAGTAAACTGCAATGAGCTGTGGCAAACTGCTCTGAACTGTGAATTCTCACAGCATGTACCAGCTTCTGGACGTGGCTCTAACTGGAGAGATTTCTACTGCAATAAGGCCAGAAATACGAGAAAATACAATGTCAGGAACTGAAGAACTTTTACTGATTCTTTTATGTCTTTATTTTGCTTTTTTTTTTAAGCTTCCTTCTGACTCCTTCAAGTACCTTGGCTGGTGTGACATAGAGGAACACGATGTTCGAGGAAATCAGCTCCGTTGTCCCCGAGTGAGAGAAGGTGAAGATCAAAAAGACAAGTTCACATTTAAGCCTCAACTCTATTTACTCAAAACCTACATGCCTAAATGTTATGACCTGAAATCGTGAAGTTTGCCATTCTCCTGAAAAAGGGCAGGATTTTATCCCATGTTGTACACATGTGCTTTTTTTTTAATCACTAAAAAATTATCCTTTGTAATTTCAAACAGAACAGTAAATTGAAAATATTTAGTATTAATATGGTGTTGATTACTTCTCTCAAAAGTTCATCAACATTTAAATGTTGCTCAGAATGCAATAGCCATATGCCAAACAAGAAAGCAAGAGGGAAATCCAGTCCTGCAAACAGTGGCACATATATTGTGTTTTAAGGCTGAATTGGCTCCATTACAATCTGCAGACACATTCAAGAACAGAGAATGAAAGATGGATTTCAAAATCCACTATTTGCATGTTTGGGACTAAACAGTGGAAAATTTCCACCCTGTCCTTGCTTTAGTTAGGAGTTTGAAGATGTCCACAGCTCTAGACATTTCAGCAAACCTTAAGAATTTAAGTGTTCAGTGTGTGTCTTAATACAAATGAGGTTTTGAGTACAGTCATTGACCCCATTGTTGTCAGTGGAAGTTGCAAACACCTTCCTTTCTCAGAACAATTAAAGGCTAACTCAGAGCATGTGAAAGAACTTATAGAAACAGGATTTTAGAGCTCAGGTCCTTTTGAACATGCGTTTAGAAATAGCTTTATTTTATTCTGGCCTGTTGAAGAACTGTCATTTAGCAACCATGTACCAAATCATCAGGCCCTCAGACTGCTTGTTGAATTATGGGCCAGGAAATGGTAGAAACATCTTCACATTAATTTATATTTTAGAAGCCTGGAAACCTACACACCTGGAATATTATATATATTTCTTCATTACAGATCTCTTCCCAGACACATATATAATCTTTCAGCAGGTAACTAAGCGCCAGTTCCATATCACATCCACCTTCATAAATCTTTTTCTCTGACCAGGGCCCCCAGAAGAAGAGCTGTTTTTCAGGAGAGAAGAACATACTTTGAAAAAAAGAAAACAAGTAACTGACACAGAGAAATGGGAGAAGAGGCTGCAAGAGAACTGGGAAAACTGTGCTGTAAAACTTTCTCATTAACATTTTGTACTCTAGTTGTAAATAAACCAAATAATAACGTGCTGGCTGCTCCCTGCAGCGAGCAGGTTTAAAGCTCAGGTTGGCACCATGATATTGTAAACCAGAAGGGTTTTACAAGGGAAGAAGGGCTGGAATATAATGTTATTTAGGTTGTGACCCAGAAGATTAAAATCCTGTGTTGTGACAGGGTTTGATTTGAACAACCTGACCTAGTGGAAGGTGTCCCTGCCCACAGCAGGGGTGGGAACTGGATGATCTTTAAGGTCCCTTCCAACCCACACCGTTCCATGGTGATTCTATCAGCATTAATATCTGGCTGATGGACAACACTTTTGTTTCAGATGAGTTTAGAAGCCAAACCAATAAGCTACAACCACTTAGTCCTGCTTTCCCCACCCAGTGCACACACTCTGACCTCCCTACTCAAAGAGTGGGACAATAAAATTCATGTTTAAAGGATGATTTCTTTCATTACTTCCAAAGAATTATGGAGTCCATCACTACGGCTCTGAGGTGAATTTGGCAACTGGCACCACCAATTGTTATAAGAGCAGCATCATAAAATAGATAAAACCTTTTAACTAATTCTGGGGTTAAAAATATTTAATGAATAGTTATTAGAAAGCAAGGAAAAAAAAGAAAAAAGTGAGTGATTTATCTTATTTTTCCCTTCCCAGGAGCTGAACCTTTCATTCCAGGACCTGGGTGATGTTTACCAGGTGGAAAACTTCAAGAGGATTCTCCGAAGGTTAATTCGTGTGGAAAAGCTTTGGTTGGTGGACAATTCTTTGACAGACCTCAGTGCCATAAGGTTGCCAAGGTAGACAAAATGTCCTATTTCTATTTTTATGCAATATCATAGAAACCAAAATTATTACTTACTTATGTAATAGCTGGAGCAGACTCTTGAGAACTGCCAAATATGCTTTTTTTTGGGAAGTACTGTATTGAAAATCTATCAGTATATTGTAGTTCTGAGTTCATGTCATCCCAAGCTGAAAATACTCAGTGAGGAGATCAGATGATGACCCCTTTACTTTTGGGGAATAATTAATGAGTCTTGTGAAATTCAGGGAGATTTGTGCCAAAAAAAGAAAGCTGTTGCACACTGAAGGAATCTCCATGAAGAGATGGTGGAACAGAAGCCAAGCAGAGGCCAAGCATGACCACGACAACTGTATTTTACAATCCATCTGCTGCTCTATGTGTGAGTGTGTGGAGAGTTGTGATACTGAGAACTGGAATAGTGATGTGCAATATAAAGCAAACTGAGGGTTTAAAGTGTAGGGATCTGATCTTCATGTCATGGGTAGGCAAAAATGGCACAAATGTAAAACTAGTGTATAAAATCCCCCCCTGTGTTGGCTTACAGGTATATTCTGTCACAGATGTGATAGTGATGGCATACAATTTATACTTTACAGATGCAGAGAATTAAATGTCAATAAAAACCACTTTAGATCCTTCAAACAGCTGCCAAAGATCCCTCAGATTCAGCACTTATCTCTGGCTGAAAATAACATTGTGACACTAAGTGGAATATCAGATTTCAGACACACTCCGCTCGAATCCCTCATTCTCAAGAGGAATCCCTGTGAGTTCCAAGAAAAATACAGACAACTGTAAGTCTAACAGCTAACAAAAGTTGATAAACACAAAGAAATGTTTGTGAGACAGCTTAAAAGGAATAGGATCTCAAATACAACAAGCTTTCTAGAAGAATCTTTTTATTTTCCGCTAGTTTCAACTATCCAAATTGCTCCAGGACCGTGGGCTGGTGAGCCAGTATCTGATAAAAGCCCCAAAATATTCAGAAGCTGCCTAGGAGGCTTTCTAATCACATGACTGGCTGTTCTGGAACTGAACTAAGTCCATGGATCAAGTTTAGAGACAGTGAGTGGGGCAGACAAATTAGATTTCCTTTTATTAATAGAAACTACCTATTACTCAAACTCTCTTCAGTCTCATTGCATCCCTCGTGTGTTCTGCAGGGAGTCTAAAATTGCATTACATGTCAGAGATGGAATCAGGAGGATGTCTTGAAAGATGGGAGCAAAAGCAGGAGAAAATTGAGTTCCCTTCATTTGATTTTTTTCTGGAGTGTCTCCCGTTCCTGGCAGGGCTGGGGAAGATGCTCTGCCTTGAACACCCCACTCAGTGTAGGTCGTGTTGCAACGTAGACTTAACAGAGCTCCCTCAGGCACTGGCAATGGAAATTTAAATACAAAGATAAAGAATTTAGGAGAAGATCATTTATTTTAAGCTTCACTCTCCAGAAATCTGTGTGGTTGGGTGTTTTTCCTCATTATACACAGTCATGTCAGCCATCTGCAGAAGGCACTGTTGATATTTTAAAGACAAACCTCACAGCATGTCTAGGATGGGATACATCTCTTCCCACCTCATCCTGGAAGGGGAATAAAAGCCAGGAGAAGTTTAAAAGAAAACATTTAGTGAAAACCTTTCTGGGTTTCCAGTTTGTTTTTCCTTTAGTCTTCCAGGCATCCCCTTGGCAGTGGGATGGTGATGCTTATGCTTTTTAAAGGTAGGGAGGCAGATATCAGCAAAAAGCAAATTTAAAATGATGGATTTCATATTTTATTTGCATATCAAAGGGTCCAGGAGAACAAAAGCAGAAAAGCACTTTTTAATAATTACTAATTGTGTTTCTTCTCCCATTCCTGCCAGTTTTAAGGCAATTAAATACTGGTGTTATTTGGTATTATTCTGGTATTACTTTCACTGCCAGTGTTGGAAGGCAGATACTTGAAGTGCTTCACTCAGTCCAAGGATATAAAACTTGTGCAACAGAGTGAAACCTGAGAATTTCTAATTAGCTTTTTATCAGGTAAATTCTGCAACAAATGGCAAATGAAAATTTCCAACAACACAAATCCATTTTAGATGTGTTTGAATCCACTGTTTGTTTTTTAGCAGTGTCTATTTTGTTCTCAGCATTTCCCAAGGTTATTTACCTCAATTTGCATTTTTCTTTTGTCTCTCTTTTAAGTGTGTTCTCCAGTTTGCCAAATCTGAAAATGCTGGATGGGATCCCAAAACTGCCAGAGGACTGTTCACCCCCAGATATTGGGTTTTTTTACAAAATGTGTACTATACTCTAGCACTGTATTTTTGGGGGATCACAACTGTGCTACAACCACCTCGCTGAAAACAGACAATAAATCCTGTTTATGGAAGTTACTCATTTTTTTTTCTAACCAAAGAGAGATTGAAGCAGAAATATAACAGTTTTGAATGCATTTGTGATACCACAGACTTCAAGTAATTATGGATATGGATATGTAAATAACACAGTATGTGTATACTGAGTGTCATGAGTTCAATGTATTAAAACTATTGGGTGACTTTCTTGTCTAGGAGCTCTGTGTAGACAACAACTCACAATTACTGACTCTCACCTCATTTACTTAAAACACATCCAAGTTCAGACCCCGAGTTCATTGTGGGAAATGGCACAGGGATGAACATCCAGGCTGCAAAGAAAAGGAAAAAAATCCCACAACTAAATAAAAGAACCCACTAACATCCTCGTGCTCTTTAATGTGCTTTGTAGGTGAGAAAAGCAGAGCCACCCCCACCATTTTGACCCTTAGAAATAAAAAAAAGTAATGCAAAAATTCTTGCTTTGGAGTTTGGTGTGGCTGGAGAGCATTGGGGAGGAAAATCATGGAAAAAAAAAGAAATCCTTTTACTCACTGCTGGCACTGTTTAGCAATGTCTTGTTGCTTAATAGAGGTTCCTCAGAGCAAAGCCACAAGAGGGAAAAGAGCTGTAGGAGCTGGAAAGGGACTTGTAAGGGCTCCCCAGGATATCTGAATGCAATTATGTTCCAGAGGTATCTGTCCTTGTCTTGGATTGATTTGCTGTTCAATTTTTAGCTTTTTTTTTTTTTCCCCAAGCAGCTCATGCTGGCACAGAAATAGCTGTGCCACCAGTGGTGCGGGGAAAGAATGACAGAGCCCTGGAAAATGAAGACAATTAAGAGAATTGCCTAATTCCAGAGGCAGTCAATAAATTTCTCTGCTGTGCCTTGGCTGCAGGGGCAGTTTGGTTCAGCTGCACAGGGGGGGAGGAAGGGCTGCTCAGCCCTGGAGGGCTCTGCAGGGCCACGGCTCAGCAGCAGAAAGGTCACAGCAGCTCTGTACAACATCTGCACTGGATCCAGGCAACAGAAATCACCAGCCTGGAAAGCTTCCAGGCTCTCCCTTGGGACTGTCCTTACCTCTGCCACAGCCCAGCACTCAAAACAGGTGATCAAAATATTGCATGAACCGAATCACAAGGTTTTGAATGTGTAACAGTGTCTGGCTCAGAGTATTTTCCACAGCTTGTGACAGGAAAAGGCAAAGGAGCACTGCAAAGAGGCGTCAGCTGGATGGTCACCCTCAGGAAATATCCTTGAAATTCGTGGAAGCAGAGCAGTATTTACGTGCTCACAGGGTTTGAAAACTAGATCCAGTCAGAGCAATCCACCCCAGCACTGGGAACAGACCACACTGAGACAAGAGGGAATTAGATTTTGGGGCTGTCAAACCATGACACCCCTTCACAAACACAGCACAGAACCGAAGGACAGCTCAGCAACACACAGCAATGAGGTTTTACAGATCCAGAGAGGAATTCTGTGCTTCACACAGACACAGAGGCAAGCAGAGCTTTGGAAGGGGCAGAGCAGGATGTGGTGTGGCAGAGTGGGACGGAGGAATGGCAGGGTGAGAACAGAAAACAGGAAAGCTTTCTGAGGAGTGGGGCTGGTGCTCTACCTCCAAATATAACACAGTAATCTACATTAAAAAAAACACTGTTGGGTTTGGGAGTGGAAGGGCGAACACAAAGGATTCAGTATATTCTTCTCAGCTGAGGAGGTATGTGGGAAAACACCATGTTTCTTGGGAATAAGGCAGGGAGCTAAAGCAGAGAGGAAACAAAGCCTGTGGGAGCACCTTTACTGACCCAGCCTTACTGACCTGTCCAAGCCCAACAGCAGCTGGACACTGGCTGGAAATGGGAAAGGAAAACAGGCTTTTCCCAGAGTATCAGACCCTAAGGAGCATTCAAATCAGCAGTGCTCGAATCACAACAAAAAGCACTCGAGGACTAGGCTCTCTTCCCAGAATCCAGCATTAGAAAGTGAGACTGAGATGGAAATTGCTCCAGTCCCGTGGGCAGACAGCTCAGTTACCAGCTCCTAGTAAAGTTACCACCCACTTCTAGCACATGTAATTAGGAGCTGGTTGAGCCTCTCCTGGGAACACACTCAGAGGCTTTGCTATTTAGACCTGAGCCCTGGGTCAGTCACAAGAGAAAGGTACAGACAGTGATTTATTCTTTCCCATCAGGAAGCTGGTTCTGCTCTCATAATTTTTTATTTCATTATTTTAATGCTCTGGCTTTGGGATCCCAGGGAAATATGAGGTAATATCTGGGGAACCTTGCTGGTTTTATTTAAAGTGCATCCAGCAGCAAGAATGTCCTGGTGATGTTTGAGTCATTTTGCTGCAATGAGATTTAAAGGAGATCACAGAATCACAGAATGGTTTTGGTTCGAAGGGACCTGAAAGGTGATCCAGTTCCACCCCCTGCCATGGGCAGGGACACCTTCCACTAGCCCAGGTTGCTCCAAGCTCCATCCAACCTCGCCTTGAACACCCACAGGGATGGGGCATCTCTGGGCAACCTGTGTCAGGACCTCCCCACCCTCACAGGGAAGAATTTCTTCCCAATATCCCATCTAAACCTACTCTCTTTCAGTTTTAATCCATTCCTCCTTGTCCTGTCACTATGTGCCTTTGTCCACAGTCCCTCTACAGCCTTCTTTCCAGTACCTTCCTGAAGGCCCCAAAAGAAAGGCTTTTCTTTTCCACAAACACAATTCTCTCAGCCTTTCCTCACTGGAGAAGTGCAGAACAAGGAAAGCTGGTTGTTACTCTCTTTTTTTGTCGGCCATAAAATTGGGTTGTTAATTACTGAGTGTTCTTTGCTATTGAAAAGCAGTTGGTAAACAAGTTCTTCGAAAGACTGCACACTGCTGAAGGGTAACACTCTCCTTGCCTTTATCCCCTTCCCAAGAGCACTGCCTGCCTCCAGCACGGACAGTGTGCTCAGACACCCCCTTGGCTGCTGGGCTGGGGGTCAGGGGTGCCTTCCATGCCACGCTGGGGGCACGTCCTGTTCCCTCTGCTGCCACTTCCCATCTCCCAGGAGCTGACTGCTGCTGTGTTCCCATTCAATCTCTGTCCCTTCTTGTCTCTAAGTACAAGCTGACTTTGCAGTGAGTGATTTCTCTATGCTGTGGTAAAAAGGTATATATTTGTGAAACCATCTACCTGAGGAGAGCTGTGCCCCCCGGGAATGACTGATGGAAATTCTTGTGCTGCTGCTGTATGACACCTGGATGTCATCTTTCAAGGTGCTGCAAGGACTGATCTGAATTCATCCTTCCTTCTCCACCCTCCTTATGTTGTTTTAATTAAGTTGTAATTCATCTCTTTCTTGGAAACAAATTGTTTTCCTAATTTACTTGGAAACACCTCCTTTAATTTGCTGTAGGGCTGTACAATGGTTTGCTCTTTGCAGCAGAGCCAAGGTGCAAGTTTCAGAGAAGATGAATAGTTTCCCAGATATGCTCAGCTCTTGTCCTTTCCTAGAGGCAGGTGAAGGGCAAGTTTGCTGTCACCAGCTGGGCCATGGCTCATTCCTGACCCACGGGGCTCTGCAACTCCCTTAGTACTAATTTTAGCTGCTCACTATACAATCTCCTTCAATTCATTTCACTGTATAATCCTGTTTTAACAAAACCCATTGATTGGGAGAGGAGATATTCACAGAATTAGGGGCTTATCTACTTGATAGATGTCTGTGTGAGCACCAGGAACAGTCACAGCCATTAATATTGGCTCGTGTGAAATAATAAGACCTGAACTACCCAACAATAAGAGCTGCAGAGAGCAGGGCAGCCACCAAAAGCTGGCCAATGAACTGCAGTGTAAGTGCCAAAAGTTCAAATGAATGAGAAAAAGAAAAACGTTTTTATTCAGTGGAATGAACTGCAGCCAAAAGAAACAGATTTTTCACAGAGAAACACTGAACTTTTTGACAATAATAATCAGCTGCTCTTTCTTCTTTAAGCCATTGTGAGTCTCTTGGCTGGTGAGTTTTTCTGTAAGTTGTACCCAACGTGCCTGAAAGAGCCCACCTGAGGGAGCTGGCTTTAGGGCTTGCTTTAAAGTGCCTTTTTTTATCTTTGTGCTAATTTTTTGGGCCGTGCAAATTATTCCTCAGTACTTCCTGGAGGCCTCAAAGAATTGTGTTTCATAATATTTCCGAAAGGATAAAATCCCCTTGTTATGGTGCTTCTCAAAATCAACTGGGTGTTCATTTTAAAGGTTTCTTTTAGACTCACAATATGCTGTTTCTGTGCAGAGATTCGGCTCCCAACCAACACTAGGGCTGAGCACACTCAGAGCACCCCACGTGTCTGTCACAGACTGTTGCTGTTGTGCATTGTTTAACCATTTTTTCCTAAAAAGTTACAAAATTTAAATTCCACCCCACTAATTTCCACTCCAAATCAAGCCCTATCAGTATTTCCACTCCTTGGTTTGGGGGGTGCTGACCAAGAGCCCCTGTTGCTGCCTGTTTGCACTCGTGCTGTGATGAAACATCATTTTTCATTGCCCAGGGCAGCTGGGGCTGATCTCCTGCCTCCCAGGTGTGTCTTGTTGCTGGAATCCATTGTGGTGGTCAGGACAGGCAGCTCAGTGTTGATGCTTGGAGAGAGAGGTCCTGATGGACACCACCTCATGGGATAGTTTGGGCTGGAACAAACCCTTCTGGAGGTCACCTGGACCAGCCTCACCCAGGTAAGATCCTGCACCCAAAGGGCTTCTTTGCCCAGATTGCACCACAAACTGATGGGTCTCACAAATGTTTGAGGATCAGTATCAGTCATTCCAGGGATCTGTCTTCATATAACCTCTGTATTAATGAGTGTGTTGGTAATAACTGCCCAAAGTGCAGCACCAGACTGGTATTTGAGAGCAGCATTTAGGCAGAAATGTCACAGTAATTACATACTCAGGTTTGCTCAGATATCAGTGGATAAACAGAAAGGGGCTTTACACACCCAGCATTTTTCCTAGGTGGAATAGTGTCCAGTATAGCTTTTTCATCCACTCACCTGCCAGTGGGGATCAGGATATACAAGGAAAAATAGTCTCATAGTCTGTTTTTGAGAGCTTTTGTTATTAAGTTTTTATTGTATAACATTGAATATATGCTGCTTTAATATTGCACAACATCTCAGCTAATTCAGCTGTCTTTACTTCCTAATCCTTTCACAATG